CACCTTACGAATCCTGCCCAACACCTAAATTTTTTTAGATGGAGTCTCGCTCTTTTGCCCAGGCTGGAGTGCAGTGGCGCAATCTCGGCTAACTGCAAGCTACACCTCCCGGGTTCAAGTTTTTTGTGTTTTTAATAGAGACAGCGTTTCACTGTGTTAGCCAGGATGGTTTCAATCTCCTGATCTCGTGATCCGCCCGCCTCGGCCTCCCAAAGTGCTGGGATTACAGGCATGAGCCACCGCACCCGGCCGCGCAACACCTAAAATTTAAAATGCCTAAGCAATTAGCTTTTCCCAAAGGCATAAAACAAAAATGTGTGGCCAGGTACAGTGGCCCACACCTGTAATCCTAGCAATTTGGGAGGCCAAGATGGGTGGATCAGCTGAGGTCAGGAGTTCCGAGGTCAGCCTGGTCAACGTGGTGAAACCCTGTGTCTACTAAAAATACAAAAATTAGCCGGATGTGGTGGTGGGTGCCTGTAATCCCAGCTACTTGGGAGCCTGAGGCAGGAGAATCCCTTGAACCCGGGAGGCGGAGGTTGCCGTGAGCCAAGACTGCGCCACTGCACTCTAGCCTGGGCAACAAAAGTGAAACTCCATCTCAGAAAAAAAAAAAAAGGAAAGAAAAAGAAAAAAGTGAAGAAAAGAGAAACAATCAAGTAGCTCTTTGCATAAAGACTACAGCAAAATGGCCAGCAGCCTGATTTAAGCTCTTTATCCAGCAGTTTTGGCAAATGGGTTACTTCAGCATCTGTACTTTGGGCAGTGGGACAGGGCAGGGCTGCACACGTCACTTCCAGAAGGGAAAGCAGACTGCCCGGCTGGGGCCAGACCAGGTGGGACTCTGTCATCCCAGGAACCTGGAACCTCCTCCCCAAGGTCATGAGGACTCCTTGGAGGGCTGCTGCAGGTGGCTCGTGAAGGGGATGGGATGCCAGCAGCAGCAGCAGTATCTCACCTACAGATTCCTGAGCACCCCCAGGTTCCACAGCATCTGCACTCCTGACAGATTCCCAACTGACACGGGTCCATGCACCAGACTTTGACCAGCACTGTCAGGAACAATGTGGGGTCCCAGGAGCAGCAACACCAATATTACCCGGAAACTCATCAGAAACGCAGTCTCCCCACCCCTGATGCTGGGGCGGTGCCCGACATCCGGTGGTTTATGCTCGCTCAAGTTGCCCAGCCCCGCGGCTGTCTTCCAGGGCTTTCTGCATTCCCTGCACCAACTGGGAGGAGGTAGGAGAGAGCGAGCGGAGAGGAGGCTGGGCACGGTGCCCCTGACAGCACGGGAGGTACAGGCCTATGGTTTGCTGCGCTCAGCATCTGTGACCCTCCCTGGGAAACCATGTCTCCTTCATTTTCTGGCATGAACTGGCTGTGTGTCACGGGCAAGCTAGTCAACCTCCTGCACCTCGGGTTCCTCATCTGCACCACGGGAATCACAGAACCCACCTCCTGGAGTTGCTGTGAGGATTAAATAAATAGCTTGATGAAGAATGAGGCTTGGCACATAGTAAGTACTTGATAAATGCTAGCTGTTCTCACTGCGTGGGAAAGGCCCACCTCCAGTTCCACCTGGGCCGACTGCGCGGTCGGCATATCTATCTGGCGGCCCCTGGTTACACTTCCTAGTACAGAAATGGGGAACTAGCCGAATCAGAATCAGCGAGGCTTGGTGTGGCACTTGGCTGTGTGCTGGGAAAGAGGAAGGTATGGCAATGTGCAGTCTGAGACACAGCAGCCATTCTATCAGCGTGAGGAGACACAGGATTTGCCAGGCAGCCACTGCCTGTAGCCTGAGCAAGGGGCAGACATTGCAAAAGACAAGCCACAAAGCGTCATCCTCAGTGGCCTCCAACTTTCCCTTGAAACCATCTTCTGGCTGATGGGTGTTTCATTAAAGCCAGCCCATACCCTTTACTGTTTAAGCTCTTTGAGTTGTTCTCATTGTTGTTGTTTTAATCACTTGCAACATTAAATCAAGCTCTGACACAGTCAGGGGGATGCAGAGCAGGCTGGGCTTTGAGGAATGAGGGAGGCTTGAGGTAGTCATTTCACTGATATTCCAAGAGACACTCAGTACCAGCCCTCAAATCCCCAGGCCGGCAGCCTCTGCCTGGGGACAAACGTAACCTTGGAGCTGCCATGAGAGGCAAAGAACCACACTTTTTCCCTAATGTCATCTCAGTCCCCTCTGGGCCCTGAGCTGTGTCCACAGAGAAAAGAACTTGTTTCTGGAGGAGAGAACGTTGTCATGGTAATAACTTAGGACTTCAAGCCTTTGGGGAAAATCCAAGAGCCCGGTTCCTCCTTGTCCTCAGCGCCGCTGCAACCAACGTTGGTCCCTGCCCTCAACGAACACAGCCACATCCTTGTGGCTGGCATAAACCACACTTCTGGGTTGCCATAGCAACTCCTGACTCTAGTCTCTGTTATCTCAGCCAGGAGCAGGCTGTGGCCAAGCAAATCTCTCTGCAGAACTGTCTTTTGCTCACTTGCTCCAACCACTCACCAAACACACTCCCTGGGGATGCCAGGCACTGAACCATGTCTGGCTCCGTCCTGTGGGCAGTGGAAACTCAGGAAACCCCCGGAGAGTTGGAGCAAGAGCCAATCAGATGGGAACACCAAGGCCCTGCAGACCTCTTAGGGGAATATTCTAAAGCTCCAGAACCTGAGTGAAGGAAACAGAAATGAGTAGAAAGACAGAGAAGGATCTGAGAGCTGCAAAATCAGTGGATTCAGAGGCTGTGTTGAGACCAGAGGGCCCAGGAGGCAGTGGGAACACAGAGCTGGAGAGAGTCAAGGGATGGAAAGGCAGAGTCAGGAATCGTTGGCACAAGCACTGATTCTTCCCCCACTGAGCCATTCCCTACCCGAGAAATGAAGTCCTTTTTTTCAGCCAGTTTTTCCTTTTCCATCAGATCTAAACTTGTGGGCCTGGAAGTTGAGGCACACTGCACCACCAGCCATGGCCAGGAGGCAGTGTTGAGAGCCTGAGCAGGCAGGAGGAACGGACAGCCTCCTCCAGTGCTCTTTGGGGTCCACTGACGTTCTGGAGGCCAAGTAGGGATGACAGCTGTTATGAGACAATCATTATAATAAAATCATATCAAATCACCATGGATCATGTCTTTCGTGAACAGCAGCATGTAATGGGAATTCCTGCTGGTGAATCTAGAACTTGTTACTTCATTCTTGGACAAATAATGAGTTTTACTCATAAACCCAGTAATGCAGGGAAGAAAGACAGGGCAGGATGGAATCTCATCCTGAAACATGCCTCCAGGGCATGCTGGCATGTGTCACCGCAGCTGTCCCCACATTAAGGCTTGGCACCTCCTCCTAGCCCACCTGCACTGGGGCACTTAGACAGGGAACTGCTAGCCCCGGACACACACCCGCATCTCTACTTTCAGGGACGTTAGTAAACAGTTGCCTCTCTGGGGGCTGAAGGCAGTCGTCACTGCTGTGTTGAGTGTATGGTGCAGGGTACACTGAAAAGCTGAGATCTACACAGCTTAGGGGACAAGGTGAGGGCTCCAGGCCTCCTCTCCCTGCAGGTACATCTGCCTCCAGCCACGCCAAGAGTAACTCCCAAGGGCGCCATTCTGTGATCTCTCTGGAAGCAACCATTTTTCTTCTCCTCCCTTGACTCAGGTGATTTACCAGGAATTCAGTGGAAGGAGGGTGATGAGCTCAGGCCTCTGAGGAAAGGAAGCACGAGGCCCTGTGACCCTGTACCTGCCAAGTGGAGTTCCCATAATGCCACCCACCTGGGCCCCACCTCTCCACAGCACCAACCACAAAGTATTGTGTTCTGCACACATTAGCAACTTCCCAAAATGCCCCTGAAGCCTTTGTGCATTTCTTTGTGCTTCTTGGCGGTGGCTATTTCCATTTTCCTCATGATCTGATTCCACAAATCCAGGATAGGATAAGCAGAATTTAGGGCATAGCTCCAACAATTCCCACAGAATATCCCACTTCCTAGCTTACACATGACAACAGGGTTAAGGAATTTCAGTGTGGAAAGGGGTAGGGACAAACAGCTAAGTTTACAAAAAGAAAAATCCCTCCCAGGCCAATCAGGCTGAGAAGATTGGAGCGCACCGCTGACCCACGTCAGGCAGCTCACTGCCTCCAGCTGGAGCTCACAGGCTTGACCAGAGCATCAGAAACAGAAGAGCGGTGTGCATGGACGAGGCCTGCTTTAAACCTAAGTCTGGACTCTTACACCATAGGAGACCACAGGAGACCCACCCCAAAAGCAGAACAATCAATCCCTATATGCCCCTCTCTGCCAATCCCTACCCACTCCTTTCCAACAGCTAGAGTAATAAAGTTTACAGTAATGAGTTTTATGCCTCTCTAGTGATGAAATTCCATCAGCGTCGGTAAAAATGAAACCGCAAAGGTGGCCAGCACCTGAGTTCCTGCCAGCCCTGGAGTCCCCGTCCCTCCCTCCCAGCACACCAACCACGGCCTGCACTGTGGGTGCCTGTCACAGAGCTGATGTCCTCGCAGGTCATCCCTCATCCCTGCATCCAGACACCAGGTCGTGTCCCTGTGCTTTCTGCCCACTAACTGGGAGGATGACGCAGCGGCGCCCGGAGTTCAGGGCTGACTGGGCCGGCGGTTCCCGGAGCCGAGCCACGAACCCACAGCATCAACACCACTGCGAGCTCCCTCGCAATGCAGATTCCCGCAGCTCCAGACCCTAAGCAGAAATGGGCCCGCGTCCATGCTCCACGAGCCCCGTGGGGGTGTCGATGCCCTGGCTTTTCGAATCTGGTCTGCACCCTCCCTGGTCTCCAAGGGAGGCTGAAACTGAGACTGAGGGTGATTTACCCGAGTTCGGACGTGAACGAAGAGACGGGGAGGTGGTGGGGGAGGGGGGCGTCATAAAGAGCTCCCCAGTGCAGAGTGGGAGGCCTGGGGGAAGATGGGGGCGACGCGCCCGGAGGCCCCCGCCCCCCAGGACCCCCACTCACTGCCGGTAGGGGTCATGGAAGGGCAGCGCCAGCCAGGTGCCATGCAGCTCGCGCATGAAGTTCAGCATCTCCTGGGAGCTGTCGTCGGCTGACACGAAGACTACTTCGAAAGGCGCAGGCCGCCGCGCCTCGGCCACCAGCGCCGTGTAGAAGTCGCAGAGCAGCTGCGTGAAGTCGCGGCTCGGCCCGCACCTGTCTCTTATACACATCTAGATGTGTATAAGAGACAGATTCAGGTCAAACTGCAGGTTTAGGAGACACCAGCTCCTTCACGAACAGCCATGAGTGCTCACAACAGGGGAGGCTCGTGTGGAACTCGGCTGGATGGAGCCTGCACAGGTCAATGAACGACAGCAGTGGGCATGAAAGATGTGGCAGAGATGTCCCTCTCTAGCACCTTACGAATCCTGCCCAACACCTAAATTTTTTTAGATGGAGTCTCGCTCTTTTGCCCAGGCTGGAGTGCAGTGGCGCAATCTCGGCTAACTGCAAGCTACACCTCCCGGGTTCAAGTTTTTTGT